TTGGGAGCCATTCTCCTTTTTTTATATCTCATCATCAGATAACTGTACTCTTTCCGCATCTACCAAATTTTATCCAACATTCACCGAGGCAGAATCTGAAATTGTATTTTCCCCCTTCTATCACATCATTTAATTTTTGGCACTGAGCAAGATCCACTTCATTTTGAGATTTGATTTAAGCCTCTCTCTGCTCCAGAGTCATTTTAGTTCTGGTACTAGCACAAATTGTATTTACCGCTACATCACCCTCACTTGTCTTAGCTTTTTTGGGGTCTCTTAAAAGATCCTCCTCCTCTTGGAAATCCATCCAATCTTCAAAACATTGAGACAATCCATTCTCATATTTCATCCATCCTTCTTCCACAATATTATCTAGGTAGTTCAAAGAAAATTCTATATACCATCAACATTGGGGTAGTGAGCTTAGTCCACCTTGGGATTTTATTATGATCTACTACAACTACTTTTATCCTGACCAGGAAGATTCCTTGAAGGTAACCCAAACCACATACATACTTCCCGTTGCCAGGGAGTCATCATTACAAATTTTGGCATTAACCATAATGGTTCCACCCTTCAAAGGCACCCAGTCATATATAACAGCTTCATTTATCTTGGCCATAGAAGGATAGTTTACCAAAAAGGTTGTCTCAGTGACCTTCTTAGCTTTCAATCCCATCTCCATGGGTATGTTTTGGCTAAGCACCTAACCAACTGTTCAACATACAAGTTAACATCTGAACCTTCCCTACGTCTCACCAAAGCCACTGCGTCATTATTTTCACTGGACCCAAGATCTTTGACATGTTCAGAAATGAAACAGCCAAGCCCTTCACCTCCAAAACCCACCAGAGCGGCAACTGGTTTCTTCTGATGAAGCCAAGCACAAAAGTTTGAAATATGTGAATCCTTTGAGCAGATGACACACTTAACTTTAACCTCACATCCTTTTGAGCTATGACCTTTGACTCCATATTTGTGACAAACAATTTTCTCCAAGGGCACAACTTTACCAGAAGAAGCACGGGGAAAATTTCCATCCCTAGTAACACCCCCACCTGCCGAGCTAGATTTAGTCTGATCTGATGCCTTACCAGCACTTACTCACCCTTGCTCTCTAGTGTTCTTCGAATATGAGGATGCCACAACCCCTGACTGATGGACAACGTAGGATTGGAGCCAGTATAACCCCCTGCATTGGCGGCTAGCGTTGATACTGAGCATTGCCTCCATGAAAACACGCCTCAAAACCTTTGTCCTGATAGCTTTGATCTCTTGGAGGATAGTAGTTGTTCTAGAAAATGTTGTTTTGGAAATTTCTGGGAGGGAGACATGGCTGGAATTGTTGATTGTAGTTGTACTCATGATAATTCCTATCGACCCCTCTCCCTCTTCCCCCACCACCATACATTCTTTCCCCTCCACGATCAAATCCAAAGCGATCTCCCATCAGATTTTTTTTCACCCACTGAGTTCGTCGGGACAGCTGGGCGGAGGCACCAGAGATGGGAAAGGTTCGATCTCAAGGAAGGATTAGGGTTGGTGGTTTGTTTCTCCCCAACGACCCCACCCCCATCACCCACGTGCTCTCCCGACCTCTCTCTAGCCCATCCCACCTGCCCGCAAGCACAAAATGGTCCACATTACGAATGGAAATAAAATTTTCCCCTCTCAGCACAATATCATCCCATGTATCCCCAATCTACCTTGCCGGAGAACGAGCGGTAACCGGCACCCTGGTGAGCCTATAGGTTACTGGGTATAAATTTGCCATTTCTCCCTCTAGGTAGCCAGTTTGGCTCATCGACATTGCCTACATCTATAGTTTCCCTCTTGAATTCTCTCGCAAAAGTTTCCCTCCTGAATTTCTGAAACCAATTACTACAACTACTAACTGAATTCTGACAATGAACAACGGGTGATACAGTCCTGCGACTTGCAGGTGAGTGTACGTACCTGAACTCTGGCAGAATTGGTGCATCTCATCTATCTGTGTCTCGATTACGCTTCAGGTTGCTAGCCAACAAGTCCAAAGATCTCCCCTGACTACGAGCATCCTTCTTCTTCTTCATCCTCTTAGCTTGCGGCAAAGCGTCCCCAAAAGTAGCAGGTTGAGGAGCAACAACAACTATATCTTCCTCATCCTCTGAGCCCAACTCTTTTTCTTCCACATCACACAACCTCCAAAAGCGTCCACCCATTATGGAAGGCGGAGGATCTGCCGCGCCACCCCTCCCAGGCGAGGCAACCCACAAATCACTACATCAGCCCCCACCCTGCTGTGGTGCTCTCAGTCCATCGCCGGTTTGGGCGAGAGGAAGGGCAGCAGATCCACAGGCTTTGGCGGCGATGGAACTTTGGTGGGCATCAAACCCACCACACACTCCCACCTTGCACTGCACTGTGGATCTTCCTATTTCGCCTCCAGCTTCGCCCATGTTACAAATGTCACCGGCGGCGCGGATGGCAGCAGCATCCTGGCCCGCTCCAACTCCGTGCCCTCGAAGTAAATCCTCCGAGCAAAATTCCTCAGCTCTCGATCCGCCTAATTCCTGCAAACTTCGACATACCTTTTCCATCTGGACCGCGAGATCGGATCCGCCTCCATGTCTTTCTTCACATCCTTCCACTCCCTCATGTCCATGACATGATATCGCCGTAGATCCTCTCCGCCCTATGTTTACATCTCCTCGCCCTCGTGGCCTCCAGCATCTCCGGCGACGCGGATCCAAACGGGTGTAACATCCGGGGAAACGCTTGATATATATAAGGAAGGTGCATCAGAGGTAGCTCCACATCCTGCCGCGGCTTCGTCGGCCGCGGCGCTCCCTTAGATCCGCGCCGGCGAGGCATGGGGGTGGCTAGATGGGTCGTGGCTGGGGCGGTTGCGGTGGGGGGCGGCTATGGAGTGTAGGGGGAGGTGAGTCGCGGGAGCAGAAGCGAACATGAGGAGTAAATTATCTAATTGCGTGCTTGTGAATACAGTACATATATTACATCGGAGATGCCCTTATAATGCAGCTCAATGAAGGAAACTGCACCCGCATGTGTGTATTATGTCCGAAGCTAATTAGCCAGGTTACCGGAGAAAGTAAGAAGGGAAAGTTGAGCTGTGCGTGGTAGTTAAGGTGGATGAACCGGAGGCAGCGGCAGTTGATGTCCAAGCTAGGCAAGCTAGGGCAGTCTCACATGGTGGTAGTAAATGTGTTTTGCAGTTCAATAATGGGTGAATGTGTGTACGTACTCCCCAACAGGGCAACAGAGGCCAAGGTCTAGCTATTTCCAGTGTCACTGTGTGCCAACATTGCCGGCATTCATTGGAGATCAGCTTGTCCTGCGCTCCCACGATACTCCCAGCCATACATCTCCCCCACTGCGCCACTCGCAGTCTCCCATGCATGATATATCGATCGATGGATCGACGGAATTCCTTCTCGATCTTCGTCTTGCACGCTTGCTTGCTCTCCTCTCGTGGGCATGCAGCATTGGAAGATCGAACCAGTTCGCCGCATTTTATACACGCCAAAAGAAAATGTGTTATCTAGTCTATATAGAGAACTAAAGAAACGTGACCAAACCGTCTCTTGGCGATATGCGTGCATGAGGAAGAAGAAGAACTGTGTAGCATACGGCGATCCGGACAGATCGCACGGTCGAGAGAAGATCGCGGCGATTGCCGAGCAGCAGCGCCCGGGCGGTACGCCGGCCAGCATTAACTGTGACGAGAACGCATGCAAAAACCTTTTTTGCTCGCCACCCGCGCGTACGCGTACGTTACCGCGCGCAACAGTAACGTACGTCGACCACTGCGGGCCGGGCATGCACGCAGCACAGCAGGAGTACGTGAACACGACACATGGGCGCCATGCCCGAGGCGCGCCGTAACGCGGCAGCCTCCCCATGGACGGATCCGCCGTCATCGGACGGACGGACGGACCGGAGGGCGAGAGCGCGCGGCTCGGCCTTGGCCTATCCGTAACGCACGCGGGAAGCGGGGGCGGGGAGGAGACGTGTTGACCTCTCTCTCCGTCAGAACGACGACGACGAGAGCGCGGCGAGTCAGTCCGTCCGTTACTGTGCTCAGGCGAGGCGGTGGGACGGAAAGACGGGCGGGTTCACGGCGCCGGCCCGGCCCGCGCGCTCGCGCGTCCGTTACTGTGCGCAGTTAAGGCGGGCATTTACTCCTCGCCCCCCGCTGTAATCCGGCCCGTAATTACCCGCATTAAATCCCCTATATTCGGCTTTCCTTTTTCCATTTTTTCACGCCTCCGCCTCTCCTGGCCCGCGGGCCCCGCCCCGGCGTGGGAATCGTTTCGCTGGTCACTCACGTCACGGGCGTCTCCCCGAGGCACGCTCTGGCGCAGGGTCGCTGCCACGTGGGGCCCGCCCACGCGGTTTCAACGCTGGGGCTGCACTGTCAGTGAGACTGGCCAGCTGGCCCGCTCCCGTCACTGCGTTTGTTCTTTGCTATTAGGTCAAAGCAAGAGGGGGCGTGGAGTCGTAGCGGACAGTGTGCCCTCCCCTCCCACCTCCGCTCCGCTCACTCCTCTCCTCTCCTGCTGCGTCGCGAGAATAAAGGCGAGCGAGGGAGGAGAGATCGAGCCGAGTTCATCTTCCCCGTCTCCGTCGACCTCCGACCTCGAGGGACTGCCGGGGCCGGGCTGGGGAAGGGAGACAGGCGCTCAGGCGAGGCACAGAACAACCGACAGGGTATTTACTACCGCCATTTACTTCTCCTTGTCCCTCGCCCCTCCGCTTTCACCCACCCATCTCTTCCTCCTCTTCCTCCTCCAAATCTTTCCCTTTACTACTCCCCCCGCTAAATCTTCTTCCCCCTCCGCCCTGTACCACCGCCCTCTCCATCTCTACCATGCTTCGTCCTCACCTTGGTTTTTACTCCATCTTACGGTGAACCACTGCAGGTCGCTGCAGCCAGGTGCTCCTCCTTCCTTCTCCTTGGTCGGTCGGTCGGTCGGTCGAGGAGTTAAGGAAGAAGAACCATGTTTGGGGACTGCCAGGTTCTCTCGTCCATGGCGGCCATGGCCGCGGGCGGCTCCTCCGCCGATGCGCTCTTCGCCTCGCCGCTCATGCCCAACCCGGGCGCGCTCGCCGGCTTCATGTCTAACTCTTCCGCCATGCCCTTTCATCACCACTTCTCCACCAACTTGATACCCGTAAGTGCTTCGCCTTCGTCTTCATCTTGTCTGTTGCCTGCATATGCATGCGAAGAAAATTAATAAATGTGTTTCTTTTTGCTGCTGGGCTGTCTTCTCAGAAAGAGGAGGGCGTCATGGGCGGGCTTCACATGGCAAAGGACGAGGAGTTGGACCTAGACATGGAGATGGAGCTCAGCGGCGGCTCCGGCAGCGGCCACCTGGACGGTCTGCTCAGCTTCGTCGACGTCGACGACGACAGGGACCAGAAGCCGCAGCACAGCGAGCCGGACGGTGCAGGCGCCGAGCACCACCCCTCCTCGTCGGCGGCCGCGGCGGCGTCGAACGGCAACGGGAAGAAGAAGCGCTACCATCGCCACACTGCGCACCAGATCCAGCAGATGGAGGCGTAAGAAATAAGAACCAAACCTCGATCTTAATGATGAAAATCTTCCTGAATTAGTAATATGACTGATGCGCGCGTATGGATGCTTTCGTGCAGGCTGTTCAAGGATTGCCCGCACCCGGACGACAAGCAGCGGCTGAAGCTGAGCCAGGAGCTGGGGCTGAAGCCCCGGCAGGTCAAGTTCTGGTTCCAGAACCGGCGCACGCAGATGAAGGCGCAGCAGGACCGCGCCGACAACGTCATCCTCCGCGCCGAGAATGAGTCACTCAAGACAGACAACTACCGCCTCCAGGCTGCCATCCGCAACGTCGTCTGCCCCAGCTGCGGCCACGCCGCCGTCATTGGTGATATGTCCTACGAGGAGCAGAACCTCCGCATCGAGAACGCACGCCTCAAAGACGAGGTGCGTACGTTTTTGCCACTTGCTTAAACCCTAGCTAATTAATGCCTGCTAGTGTTACTGTAATGTACTACATCGAGTTGTTCTTCACACGGGCTAATGGTGTACGTACGTGTTTTGCGCGTCGGATGGTTGCAGCTGGACCGCTTGGCGTGCATCGCCAGCAGGTACGGTGGCGGGCGCCAGCCTGGCATGTCGTCGGCTTCAGCGCTGAGCTGCATGTCGGCGCCGCCGCCGGTGCTCATGCCGCCCCTGGACCTCGACATGAACGTGTACTCCCGGCACTTCGCCGACTGCGCCGAGCAGCAGCACGGCGCCATGGACCTCATGGCCTTGCCGCAACAGATGGCCAGCGGCGGGCACGGCATCGCGGCGACGGCGTCATACTTGCAGGGCCCAATGACGCCCGTTGTCGTCCAGGAGCAGGACAAACAGCTGGTGATGGAGCTCGCATCAACGGCCGCCGACCACCTCATCAAGATGTGTCGCACCAGCGAGCAGCTCTGGGCGCGCCGCCGCGGCGCCGGTCCCTCGTCCGGCGAGGTCATGGACGCCGAGGAGCATGCGCGGATGCTCAGCTGGCCCATCGACTCCGGGAAGCAGCAACAGGCTGACGTCGCCCACGCGGCCAGGACTGAAGGGACGCGCGACAGTGCCGTCGTCATCATGAACAGCATCACATTGGTCGACGCCTTCCTCGACGCGGTGAGTACAGTTCATCAACTTCCATCTTGATCAAATTACTTCATTTTCTTCCATTGCGCACGTACGTCTGATTAACTTGAGATCACCCGCGCATGCGTGCAGAACAAGTGGATGGAGCTGTTCCCTTCGATCGTGTGCAAGGCAAGGACCATTCAGATCATACACCATGGCGCTGCTTCTGGCCATCTCAGCAGTGGATCTCTCATCTTGGTAACCACCCCATTTACTACCACATCGATTCAGGAGTAGATGCATGCATCGATCGATTTAGAAGTTGATTGGTTCGCTGATGAACGTACGCATGCAGATGCAAGCGGAGATGCAGTTCCTGTCTCCTCTAGTGCCGGTGCGAGAGGTGGTCTTCTTCCGGTACTGCGTGCACAACGCCGACGAGGGCACCTGGTCCATCGTCGACTTCCCAGCGGACGGCTTCCAGGAGGAGCTTCTGCAGCAGCAGCAGCAGCAGACCAGCTCGCTGGTCCGGTGCCGCCGGCGGCCCTCCGGCTGCATCATCCAGGACGCCCCCAATGGCTACTCCAGGGTACGCACCGCCTCCCCCCAAAGGCCCAATGCATGCATCTTGCATGTGTGACGTGGCATGACATGCATGGACTGAGCTCTGACACGTGGATTGACGCAGGTGGTGTGGGTGGAGCACATGGAGGTGGTGGGGGAGGAGAAGCCCCTGCAGCCGGTTTTCAAGGACCACGTCGCCGGCGGCGCCGCGTTCGGGGCCACCAGGTGGGTCTCCGTCCTCCAGCGCCAGTGCGAGCGCCTCGCCAGCGAGCTCGCCCGCAGCATCGCTGACCAAGGAGGTAAGGACCACCCTGCACCGCGTCGATCGCATCGCACGGCATGCCTTCACTCTGCTGCTTGCATTTCATCCGATTGATGTTCATCCTGCTTGTGAATTGAGATGCCGAGTCTAGATATCCTAAACCGGTCGATTTCGCCATGTATTTCTATGCTTGGTTTTGTGGAGTACTGTGATGGTTCTTGCCTGCCCGCCTGTCAAGTGTTCGACGTTTTGCCTCAGAGGGCCAGTGCTTAGTTGCTTCTTTAAAACTACATGTCCTTTTATGTGTCATCATCGTATTATTTGGAAGGAAGATCGTAGCAATATATGTGTACATGGTCGTTTACTTGTTTATACTCGAGTGCTGCAATTTCAGCCATTCTCTTGGGATCTTTACACTGGTTGTACTTACCACTTTTATCAGTTATGTGCTGGGTTTTATCGATATTTATCCATCTTCACAAGAGCCTAATCGTATTGATTTCTATATCCTAATCCCAGTTATCCGCACCCCTGAGGCGAGGACAAATATGATGAAGCTGTCTCAAAGGATGATCACCGCCTTCTGTGCTAACATAAGTGCATCTGGGAGCCAGTCTTGGACGGCGCTATCTGATTCTACTGAAGACACAGTCCGGATTACAACAAGGAAGAATACTGAGCCAGGGCAGCCCAGCGGTGTCATCCTCACTGCGGTCTCCACAAGCTGGCTTCCTTTCAGCCATCAACAGGTGTTTGAGCTTCTTGCAGACGAGCAACAGCGCTGTCAGGTAGCGATGGTCTATATTACCTTCTCAAATGTTGTAATCGTTGTTAGTTTTGGTTATCTTCTTTATTCCAAAAAATTATTTAGTTTTTATCAGTTCCGTGATGCGTGTCATGCTTTTGCAGCTTGAGATTTTGTCAACTGGGGGCTCACTTCATGAGGTGGCACATATTGCAAATGGATCACACCCAAGGAACTGCATTTCTCTTCTTCGCATAAATGTAAGTACTCTTTCCGGTCGTCACATGTTCTGAATGCTGGATTTCCTTTGTACTTGAATAAAAAGCCGTGTACACCAAGAGGCCACAAATTCGCTCCTTTGGGGACACTCAATAATGTAACTCTTTCTTTGGTAACTAGAACTTCAAGTGTACTTAGTATCTATGCCAAACGAGTATAATCACAATTTATCACCTCCTAAATCATACTGACCATGTAGAGGAAAGTATATGATGTTTTAATGCTTTCTACAGCAAAAATGCCAAAAAATTAGCAAGAGTTTTTCAATAGCTCATTTGTACTGAATTACTGCAGTAACTGCTATTCATTTTGATAGTGCTTCTAGTAACTTACTGTTTACTACCAATACCAACATTTTGATAGTGGTTCAAATAACTTAACGTTTCCTACCAATACCAAGGACAATAAATTAACACTGGCTGCTCAAGGTACCACATTAAATGATATTTGTGCGGTCTAGGCACAGGCTGGTCACATGCATCACTGTAATTTGCTAGTACAAAAACTTTTAGATTCGTTTATGTGCTGGCATTACGCTCACAGTTCATCTAATTTGCTATAAGAGCTTTTAGATGCAAAGAAAATAGACAATTTTAGAAATACATGTTGCGTCTTGTACACATTATATGTCTAGTGAGTCGTTCTAAATCAGTTTTGATGTACTGCCTTTCCATGTTGCAATTTGATGTACTGCCTTTCCATGATTACTTCCTTCTTTGTACTCCTTGTAAGATCAACTAAGTTGCCAGTTTACAGTTAATAACATGCTGACATCTCGTAAATGTTGAGAGCTGACATTTCTTCCACTTTCTATCACAGTCTGCAAGCAACTCATCACAGAATGTGGAGCTCCTGCTGCAGGAGAGCAGCATCCACCCTGATGGTGGAAGCCTGGTGGTATTTGCAACCGTGGATGTGGATGCCATCCAGGTCACAATGAGCGGGGAGGATCCTTCCTACATCCCTCTACTCCCCATGGGCTTCGCCATCTTCCCAGCCACCAGCCCTTCGCCTGGAGCCACCAGCTCAGACACCACCAGCAACGGCGAAACTAGTCCTGGCAATGCAGATGAGCCCGCCGCCGGCTGCCTCCTCACCGTCGGCATGCAGGTGCTGGCCAGCGCCGTGCCTTCAGCCAAGCTCAACCTCTCAAGCGTCACTGCAATCAACAGCCACATCTGCAACACCATTCACCAGATTACAACAGCACTCAAGGGTGCCGGAGGTGGCCGGACTGAGCCGGCGCCTGCAGGTTCCGACCAGTAGCAAGAGTCGCTGGGTGGGAGTGGAGGGAAGCACACGCCGCAGACCAAAGTCCAATTATTTTGCCACCTGCTAACACCTCAAGCATCCCTGTTAGCAACACAGATGCAAGGGAGGATTTGACAGGAGCCCACAAGACTAACAACAAAACCCCTCTCTTCCCGCCATGCTCCTCTCAAAATGGCAAAAATACCCTCGAGTAAACCACTGGGGGCATTTTGATCATTTTGGGAAGGAAGGCAACGTGATCCATCTCCAACCAGAAAGGGTCTTGTCATGCTCTCACTTGCACCAACCAACACCAACAGAATCAGCTCCCAGGGCATTTTGGTCATGCGGTTCTTGCTGCTACTCTCCCTCCTCCCCCCTGCTCAGAAAGTCAAAGACTGTGAAGGTATCTTCTTTTGATTTTGTAATAATGAGAGTACTTAATTAGTTTGAGCGTGCGATTCGTCGTAGACTTTGTTCCAAGACTTGTTTAAAGCAGACTGTAATGCAAAAGAGAAGATGAAGGAAGGAGAGGAGGAGTCAAGAGCGAACCATTCGTGATCCTTCCCACTAGCAACGGAAGGGTCTCTTGGTTCGGGAATTGACTTGTTTCCTCTCTCCGCCTTGTCTGTAAAACATTTGGCTTATGTTTTGTTACTGTGTTATTGGTACTTCTACTACATTGCAATCTGCGAATCTCTTATCTCTCCTCTGGTTGTTGAATGGTAGTGAATGCGGATGCTGGCTTTTGTTTTTTGCGTGAGCCTAATCTGCGGCAGGCTTTGAATGCCTTGCCCATCTACTGCATTGGATCCATTGTCTTCAGTGGTGGCCTCGGCCTCGGCCTCCTCCTTGGCTCGAATTGTTCTGACAACCTACAACTGTGGTGGAGGACCAATTTCATTTTTGAGCTGCGAGGCAGTGCTGTGCCGAGATGCTTGGCTTTTCAAGCTTCTGCCTATTTATCCCTTCCCCTGTGCTGTACTACCGCTACACAGGGAGATGCTGCGTGTGGTTGGTGGGTGGGGAGATGCCTCTCATAAATAGCACCATGCTGTTGCTATGAAGAGGAAAGGCTCTTCTTCCTTGCCTGCATGGTGCATGCTACCATAGATCTCCAAGTCTGGTATCTATATATACCACGAGGCCCCTGCCTATACTGGATTTTTTTGATGCTTTGAC